CCCCTCTCCTTAATATTTTTTATATTCTCTAACACTCAGTAACCTTTTGCGTCCTAGTGGCTTTATTGCGTTGCTTGGGCTGAAATGATTAATACACACACACACACACACACACACACACATATATATATATATATATATATATATATATATATATAACAGCAAAATTGTCCAATTGTTAGATTAAGGTTTCAACCGTTGTATCTTAGAAATGATTAAAGATATCTTACTGGAATTCTCTGAGGTTTTTATAACACTATTGGACTCTACTTTGAACAATAAGGATGTCTTTCGCTCTAAGTTGAAATGATTATCCCTCTGCTGTTGTGACCACCTGATCCAGTTTTACTCTGTAAATTATTCACTGTTCTCTTGATGGTTATTCAATGGACTTTGAAGATGGAATCCAGAGTATGAATGTTGTATCATTAATGAAGGCCTGAAATATCTTTTTCCTTTCACCATTGCTCATTTTGGAAGACAGTGGTGGGGGTGACACGAAATGATTTTAACCTCTTCTCTTTTTAGCTGAATAATTCGAAAGGTTTTTCAGTGATTCTTATGACAAATGGTGTCAAGATGGCTAAACGTCTTATCTGAAAAGCTGAAAACAACTCAATTAGTTTAGCGGTTTTTTAGATATTAAACATTTTGTGGGATGGACGATTATCCCATGTCATTACACGACTTGGCTAATTTAGCTGTTACACCTGATATATATATATATATATATATATATATATATATATATATATATATATATATATATATATAATATTAAATGCTCAAACACTAATATTCCATGGTTATAACTTATTACATTGGAATCGTAATCAATTCATCTGACCTACAAATTCAGAAGGTTTTTTGAATTTGTAGGTCTAATGAATTGGATCGTGATTACGATTCAATGTAATAAATTATAACCATGGAATATTAGTGTTTGAGCCTTTTATATTATATTCTTACTCTGTGCTGGACATTGAGTTCTACCTGGATTCTATCCTCTTGGAATATATATATATATATATATATATATATATATATATATATATACATTGACCACTAATATTATCTATCTATCTATCTAGCTAGCTAGCTAGCTATATATATATATATATATATATATATATATATATATATATATATATATATATATATATATTTTTTAGATTGTGATATAATCAGTACATCCTTTGTACTTGTAAACTTTATTTATTGGAGCAGGAAGTCCTCCATATTGTTTTTATCACATAGAATTACATCCCTCTGTCGCTCCCCACTACTTCCAGCGACTTCCGTTTCCCTCGTCTTGCAATTTCTTTATCATCACTTGAGATTTCCCACTCAGTGTCAATTCTACGATATTTGGCACGTCAATCTCGCCTTACATCTGAAAGTCACGTCCCCCCACTCTTCTATCCAGTTGTAGGTCAGAACCGCTGCATGTGACATGTGCACGCTTTCTGCGTCCCCGACTCCAGCCAATTTTAGACTTCTGCTGCCAAAGTGGGGCGAGGTGCGTGGCGAGAATGGAGGCAGGTCAATTGCAAATATAAAATCCACTCTATAATCCCTGTCCCACTGATGCTACGTCGTAAACCTCTCGCTGTTCTACCGCTAATTCTCTGGCAAATGACCTGACGAGATCCATCCCTCCTGTTCTAACCTCTACATCCAGGACACGCCATGCGACGCACACGGAGACGAATTATCCTCCTTTTTTTCGTATTCTATAACCAAGAAGAAAGTTTAATTCTGAATAACTGCTACTTTGTTGAACATCTCGAGGAGATGATCCCTCGATCACTATAATCTCAACCTCTAGAGTTAACCGATATCTTACCGATATATCCACATAAACTACACTTTTTAGGATATATGTACTAGTGAGTCAGTCAAAATGACTTAACTCCCTTTATAGTCCACCAAGAGAAGGGTTAACCAATCAGAAGACGTAGAACATTCAATCCGTCGTGTATAAAGGCGGCCATTTTGTTTACTCTATCCGAATATCCAGTGCCAACTTGTCAGGCAAAAGAACAGAAGGAAGAATTACTGAACTACGCTCTGCTACTTTTACCAAAATATCCACTGCTAACCTGAACAACGCTTTCCTACTGTCTTCGAAATATTCTCTGCTAACCTCTGGATTCTATACTCAAAGACGACCGTCATCATGAACAACACCTTTCGATAGAATCAACGGTCATGCCTTCAAGTTTGAGAACATCGGCTTTGGTCTGACTTGGAGTGGGATTAGCTCTCCCACCTGTTCTACTTTCAAACTAGATATATAGGGTGAAAATTATTATTATTATTATTATTATTATTATTATTATTATTATTTTTTTTGATTTCTGGCGTTTACATTTCTTTCCGGCTCCCGCCCAGGGACCTAAGGTTAGAAATGGCGTCATGACACTTTCCCTGACTGAAAAAAAAAAAATTACATAGATAAAGCCCTTCGTAAGGTGTGGGCTGTACTTGTCAGAACAATTTTCTGTATCTCCTTGAGGCATGGACTTCCAGGAATCCCTTCAATTAGTCTACTGGAATCTTTTCCAACCAGTCCTAGGGCTCCAACTACAACAGGGATTGTTGATGTTCCCATATGCCACATTTTCGAGATTTCTATTTCAAGGTCCTTGTACTTTGCCAACTTTTGAATATCTTCAAAAGATACATTGCAGTCAGCAGGGACTGCCATATCAATAAGGAGGAACCGTTTTTGTTTGTGGTCTTTAATAACAATATCTGGCCGGTTGGCCTTGATTGTTCTGTCAGTGTGTATTGTGTAATCCCATAGAATTGTAACAGGTCCTATCTCCGTAACCGGGTCTGGGTGGTGTTCATACCAGTTTCTTTCAGTTTTCTTCCCGTAGAAGTTTCAGATTTTCCAGTGCAGATATTGGCCCACTCTGTCATGTCGGGTTTTATATTCAGTGGGTGCCAACACCGTACAACCTGATACAAGATGATCAATCGTTTCTGGATATTTATCACAGAATCTGCATTTTGGGCTGACACAATATTTTAGTACATGTGCTTGATAATTCCTAGTTAGCAAGCATTGGTCCTGCGCAGCAAGGATAAAACCTTCAGTTTCCGATTTCAACCCTGCACTACGTAGCCACTGATGGATACGGGTTTTGTCTACGTCAGCTTCTTTGGTACGGGCAGAGTATTGGCCATGAAGCGGTTTATCTTGCCATCGCTTCTGTAACTGGTCGGTTGCATTCGTCTTAGCTATCTTTTTATTATTATTATTATTATTATTATTATTATTATTATTATTATTATTATCTCTTCTTCCGTCTGGATATCATGGGTAAAACGATAAACTACATCCAACAGCAAGACTTCTGATCAGGAGGTTTTGAGGAGCGTCGAACCACCTCTTAATTGCTGGTGGTGGTAGCCCCTGTTAGGATCCCAGCGATGAGTATATAGTTAACCCCCAAACTAGAGTCAAAACACTATGAAAGTGTTAAAATAGGTTTTAATACCAGCAATACATTTTTTTAAAAATATTACTAGCAATGAATTTTTGAAGAAAAAATTATTACTAGCTGTACATTTTGGAAAAAAAAAATTACCAGCAATAAAAATGTTGTCGGCATTAAATAACCCATTGAGGTTGATATGCCGTAAAACAAACCAAACCAAACCATGTAACCCAGTGAAAGCTAATTAGATCTATACCATCAGAAAATGATTGATTTGTTTTTACGGCTTATCACGTGACAATACTGTGACACTGATAGTATGAAATTACGATTTAAAGGATTCATGTGAAAACGCTGTATCGGAATCGGAGAATTGGAATAGCTAAATACGTTAAGGTGAACAAAACAATTTGATATATGGAGCGAAGGAAAAATGTAATGATTAACCACTGACAAACAGGTTAAGATTGTAGCGATCGCAGAAATATTTCTTTTCCCGATGATGGCCATTTTGGACGAAACTAGTCGAGGAATCTAAATGAAATAATAATAAAAGAAACGAAAGAATATCAATCTACAACCCAGTGTGTCTGAAAATTTTAATTTTTTAATATTTTTTTATTGTTCAAAAAATATATATATATATATATATATATATATATATATATATATAAAGACATTTTATGTTTATACGTTCTTTTTATGGATACAAATATTTAAGTAAATGCTCTGTTTATAACAAACAGTATTAACGACATTTACCAGCCTGAATGTTCGGTAAAAGCACGTCAGGTTATATGACGGTTCCGTATAAGATACAGGTTCGATTCCTGTCGGAATGCACATATTTCCTATGAAATTTTCTCGAACATTCAGGCTGGTAAATGTCGTTAATACTCTTTATTATAAACAGGGCATTTACTTAAATTTTTGTATCTATAAAAAGAACGTATAAACATAAAAATGTTTTAAAATAATTGTCGGACTTTGTCCATTTCATATATATATATATATATATATATATATATATATATATATATATATATATATATATATATGGAGAGAGAGAGAGAGAGAAAACAGAGAGATAATAATATAAGATCCATATGGTGAAAGGATAATCAACTGGTTCTTTTTAATATAAGATATTAAAAAAATAGATCAGTGCACAAGTGTCATATCAGGGCGATTGCTCTCCAAGAGCTTGTCAATCAAGATAGTTGTATCCCACATGAGCTTCAATAGATCATTCTCAGCTACTAATGTGGGTTGAAGTTTCGTACCACGTCTTTTTGATTCATTCGTTTTTTTACGGTTTATCAACACAGTGCAGTTCATTTAAAGCCATGAAATGTTTTGAGATTGTAAGAATTTTTCTTTTGGGGGTAATAATGACTAACTGATGCAAGTCTTACTAATTAGCCCATATGAGGAGGAGAAGATTAGAAATGTGGATTCTTACCTTTCCTAAGGTTATTTGCCCGTAAGCGAATATAACGAACCCAATTGGAATTCCAAGCCGTTATCCATTACACCACCCGCACATCCAAGCTTACAGCACCTGGTAATCCCAAGCGGTAACCCATCCAGGTGCTGACCAGGCCTGACGTTGCTTAACTTCGGTGATCGTACCGGAACTGGTGTTTCAACCTGATGTGGCCGTAAACACCACTTGAAACCATATGTTCTGAATATTTCCCAGTCTATTCTAAAAGCGACTTTGTCATGGCGTCGTTTGTACTCTTTTCGTCACAGTTAAGTGCAACCACTGACAATATTTTTCACACTTTTGGTAGCTTTCCCACACAGCCTGAACAACGGCGATTCCACTGTTTTATCAAAGGGGTGATTGAATGTACTTAGAGCCCCCTCTTGTGCTGCATATATCCCTTCAGTTTATTCTGGTTGTTCCTTAGTTAGTTACGACCTACGTTACACCTCTTAAATAATAGACTATTCTGTTTTGCTTACAAAGAAAGAAGAGAAATGCCATATCACAGACGCTGTGGAACAAAAGAAAAGAAAAGGAAGATAGAAAAGGTGATAATGTTACGGTTTTTTGGGTATATATGCTTATAACTAGTGAGCGAGTCAGAATGACTTATTTCCCTTTATAGTCGACCAGTAGAAGGTTGACCAATCAGAAGCCGCCCAACACTGTATTCATAGTGTATAAAGGCGGCCATCTTGTTTCCTCCTACCAGAAGGACAAAAGTCGACCAGGAGAAGGATGAACTACACTCTGCTGTGATATCCACTGCGAACCTTCACTAAGCTTTCCTACTGTCTCCGAAATATTTACTGCCAACCTCTGGATGCGATACTCGAGGATCGACCGTCATGAAAATGTCTAACATAGGTTATGAGCCCAGATCACGATTATATTTTGACGGAAATGAATCGAGATATGAATTATGGGAGACGAAGTTTTTGGGCTACCTCAGAATACAAAAACTCCATGATATCATCCTTTGCAAACTCGACCAGGAGGGGGATGATTTCATGGAAAGAAATGCGACCGTTTACGCTGAGTTAATTCAATTCCTGGATGACCGGAGTTTGTCTTTAATAATGAGAGAGGCCAAGGATAATGGCCGAAGAGCTCTACAGATTTTGCGTGAACACTATTTGTCAAAAGGTAAGCCTAAAATTATTTCCTTATATGCGGAATTAACCGCATTGAAAAAGACGAGAAAACGAATTTATAACCGATTACATTATTCGAGCGGAGAACGTTACGAATGCTTTAAAAATTGCAGGTGAAACCATCTCGGATGGGCTGCTAATAGCCATGGTTTTGAAGGGTTTGCCACCGTCATTCAAACCATTTACGACAGTTATAACCCAAAAAGATAAACAACTAACTTTCACTGAATTTAAAATGGCGTTACGTAGCTATGAAGAAACTGAAAAAATGTGTTCCCACCAAAATCACGGCAATAACGTCATGCAATTAAGAACGTCATTTAAAAAACTCAGAAGACCAGTTCCTCAAAGTAATCAGACTAGGAACTATGAGAGTAGGAACAGGGGCTTTAGAGGCAATTATTGCAGAAATTATAAAGGCGGATATAGTAAGGATATCGTTTGTTTTCGTTGTGGTAATGTCGGCCATACTCGTGCGAAATGTCAATTTTATACCCGAATAACTATTGTAAGAATGCGTTTCTTCGAAGGGATGTACATATGCCTTTTCGTTTGGATTGGGTGCTGTGGCCAGCAGTTGTGATTCTTACTTGATCGATACGGGAGCGACAAATCATGTAATTACGGATAAAACAAAATTTATTAGTTTTTACCCCAATTTTCAACCCGACTCGCATTTTATCGAGTTAGCTGATGGGACCAGAGCTAATAATTTGGTTTTGAAAAGAGGCGATGCCTGTATTTATCTACGCAATACTAAGGGAGATGTTTGTAAATGTTTATTAAGAGGGGCTTTATATATTCCAAAATTTAAGCAAAATATTTTCTCAGTTCAGTCTGCAATTGAAACTGGCGTTAAAATCAGTTTTCATCGCGACAATTCAAAGTTCCAGACGGAACTGAATTTAATATACAGCAAAATGGACGTTTGTATTATTTGAAAAGTATTAAGTCTGCGAGGACAGCCACGCATGACTTAAGAACTTGGCATATAATATTGGGCCACTGTAATGATTCGATGTTAAAATTACAAGAACACGTCACTGGAATGAAAATTACACTTCCAAAGGGCTTGCAATATTGTGATACGTGTATTAAAGGTAAAAATGACGAAATATAGAGAGAGGGTCGGATCCCAAAAGCAACAGATATTTTGTTCAGAGTTTATTGCGATTTAGCGGGGTCCAATTACCCCAAAGGGTATTGACACCTACTCATATGTATTAAACTTTGTAGACGAATATTCAGGACTTATTATGGTATATTTCCTGAAAAATAAGTCTGACACACTGCGAGCTACAAAAAATCTATTTATCAGATATCTCCCCGTATGGAAAGGTAAAAATAATTCGGACCGATAATGGTGGCGAATTTACTTCTGATGCTTACAAAAACCTCCTGATAAATGAAGGCATTAAACATGAGAAAACTTGTTCTTATTCACCACATCAAAATGGAGTTGCTGAGCGCAGTTGGAGGACACTGTTTGAAATGGCTAGATGTTTGTTAATAGAATCTAACTTGCCCAAAAATCTATGGGTTTATGCATTAAACACGGCGGTATATATAAGAAACCGCTGCTATAATAGTAACATTAAAAAAACTCCTTACGAAGCTTACACAAACTTTAAGCCCAATGTGAGTGATATGCATATTTTTGGTACAATTTGCTATTCATATGTTGACCACAGGGCGAAACTAGATCCAAAAAGTGAAAGGGCATATTCATTGGGTATGACAAGACAAGTCCAGCCTATATGATTTATTTTCCAGAAACTAGAACAGTAAGGAAGATTAGATGCGTCAGATTTACAGATTCCTTTGAGCGACGGGTGGAACACGAAGAAACGAATGTTAACTGCGACGAACTGGTGCAACCTGAGCTAAGTATGGCCCAATTATGGGTCTATGAGTGGAAAACCGTCCATAATCCACAATCAGAGGAAAGTATTACACCAGATGTTGTAGACGAGGAAAAATCGGATGCAAAACTTGAGTTAAAGGAAAATACAACTGATGAGGGGGGAAAAATTCCGCGTTACCCGACAAGGGATAGAAGAAAGGCAGATTATTTTGGAATGGACCAATGTAATACCTGCGACATTGACTGTTGTTATTCGGTGCAATGTATCCCAAAGAATTACCAAGAGGCCATACATTCTATCAATGCTAGACGGTGGATGGCTGCCATGCGAAAAGAAATTCAATCATTAGTATTAAACGACACGTTTGAATTAAAAAGGCGCCCGGATGATAAAAATATTATTGGCAGCCGTTGGGTTTATAATGTAAAGCGTACTGAGGATGGATCGCCACTATACAAGGCTCGTTTTGTAGCTAAAGGTTTTTCGCAGATATACGGGGAAGATTACGTAGAAACATTCAGTCCAACAACAAACATGACAACAATTAGAATTTTGATGCAAATGGCCGCACATTATGGTATGGATATACACCATATGGATGTGAAAGCACCTTATTTGAATGCTGCCATCGATTATGATATATATATAGAACCGCCAAAGGTTTTAAAGAAGGCGATAATTATGTATGGAAACTTAAAAAGTCACTATATGGACTGAAACAGAGCGGCAGGACATGGAATAAACTAATCCATTCTTATTTAATAGAACAGCAATTCAATCCTCTCGCGTTGACCCATGTCTATACACAAGAACATTTAGTAATGAAATATTAGTAATTCTGATTTATTTGGGTCGACGATATGTTAATTGCATCAAAGTGTGAGACCGCTCTATTAAAAATCAAAACTTCCCTGGAAATAAGGTTTAAGATGACCGATTTGGGTCGACTATCATGGTTTCTTGGTATACAGTTCGAATTTAAAGGTAACACTGTTACAATGAATCAATCTAGATACATTGAAAGACTCTTATCTAAATTTAACATGCAAAATTGCAAAACGAGAGCTACTCCATGTGAAATGGATTTAAACACAATTATGAATAAAGAAGATGGTATAGCGGCGTGTGAAAATGAATATAGAACATTGGTTGGAAGTCTTATTTACTTGATGACGGCAACCAGGCCAGATATCTGCTATACGGTTACGAAATTATCCCAACATTTAAATAAACCGGGAACTGTGCAATTAACGAGAGCTAAACAAGTGTTACATTATCTAAAAGGAACTAAGAGTCGGTGTCTAGTATTTCGACAAGCAGATAAACCATTGAAATTGGAAGGATTTTGTGATGCTGTTTGGGCCAACTCACCAGATCGTAAAAGTATAACTGGCTACTGCTTTAAGCTAGCTGATGGTAACCCAATGATCAGCTGGAAATCGAAGAAACAGGGATGATTTCACTTTCTACCTGTGAAGCTGAATATATTGCATTATCAAAAGCAACACAAGAGGCCATTTTTCTTAAATTACTAATAGAAACCGTTAAAACACTGGTAATAACTGAGCCAATAATTATTTACTGCGATAATTAGGCCAGTATTGCTTTGGCCAGAAATCCAATAATACATCAAAGATCAAAGCATATTGATATAAAATATCAATTCGTTAGGGACCAAGTATAAAAGAAAATAGTACAAATTGAATATGTTCAATCGGGAAAAAATATGGCAGATTTATTTACAAAACCAATTACCAAAATCAAATTACAGACTTTCACTTCTGCCATATTTGGTACTGACCAATAAGGTCCTCACTGGTCCTGGGCAAGACGTAAAACTGCATCCATTAAGGTCCTGGGCAAGACGTAAAACTGCATCCATTAAGGTCCTGGGAAGGACGTGAAACTGCATCCGTTAAGTCCCTGCAAGGTCCTTATTAGGACGTAAAACTGCATCCATTAGTTACTGTCCTAAGAAACGTCAGTTCGGTTTTTGGTATGAATGTAAGTCCTTAGTTTCAGGGTATAAAGGTAAATAGTCCTACCTTGAGCCCAATCCTCTTCTAAATGTTTCTCTGGATCACTCTGACCCGGAGTGATAGTAACTGTTTTAATGGGTCTTAGTTATGGATAAAATAATAATTTTGTACTTTT